AACAACGAAGCCGACGAGTTCGCGAAGGATGGGGCCCTGCTACACGGGGCTGAGATCTTGCAAGACATTCACACCTATGAACTAAGAATTGAGTTCAGCAGGATGGGATGAAGTAGCTCCAGCAATTGCGGGCATGTTGGAGGGCCTCCCATAGGCGAACGAGCTTTTTTGGGATTTGGCCAAACACCCCAGAGTTCCGAAACCTCCCAACTGTGTGTCTCGCGCGGTGCTATGGAACGGTTGTCGCTAGAGGCGCGTCAGGTGTGCCAAGTGTTTTCGCGCCGAGCGAGCCCCGGGGAGATGCGCCGCCCTGCCGGAGTCGTTGCTGATAGTGCGAGGCCAGGCGGTAACACCAGCTCACTCTCTGCACGTGTGCAGGGTGCTTGAGACGAATCTCCCGATGTTGATGTGTATGAAGTGCGGGGCCTACACCTCTGGACAGGCCAGAGCGTTGAGGGCCCCGTGTTTCAAGGCGTTGTCTGGCCAACTCTAACTGCTGTTGAATGGACGCTTGCCCTGGCCTGCGGGCCAGCATGTGCCCGCCCCCTGGCCACTTGAGAGCCCCGAAGGTGAGGCCGATTCGTGGTCAAGGATCAGGCGCGTATAATTGTTTTTCCTGTTTTCAGCAGTCCCTGTCGAGCCAGGCTTGGAGGAGGTGATGAGCGAGCCACTGGACAATGGGGAGGGTGAGGGGGAGGAGGACAAGCTAGGTGCTTTCGCGTCATGTCTGACGTCCCGCCTTCCCTCCCATCCTTTACCATGGCGCAGATCTCCTCCCTATTCGCACAATCGGATGTCGCAGCATAGCGTAGCATTACATGGCATAGCATGGTGTTGAAGATTAACGCGTACCATGACATATCATGGCGTGGCGACGCCCCCCAAATGAGGGGGGGGGCTTCAGCGGCCCAACAAATAAAATGATCGACACCGAATGTGTAATCATTTCCGGTGGTTTCTTCAGGAGGCCATTGTTTAGATTTTGGGGCCTATCTGGAACAACCGAAAAACATGCCGTGGCATGTCACTGGAAATAACGACGCCAGCGCTGCACACGGAGCACGATTCGGAACGACCGGTAGCGTGTAAATGACGCCAGCGCTGCAGCGGGAGCACGATTTGGAACGAGCGGTAGCCCGAAAATGTGGCCAGCGCTTCAGCAAGAGCAGCATGCCGAAAAACACCCAAGCGAAAACCCGTTTCCAGGAAATTCTTTGTAACAAACCAGTACGCGGATGGGGGCCGGCCATTTCCCAGACGCCACTAGGGGAGAGAGGAGAGTAGTATTCAGATTGTTGAATTGTGGAGCAGGAGGAGGAGGAGGAGGAGGAAGAGGAGGAGAAGGAGAGGGAAGAGGAGGATGGAAGAGGAGGAGGAGGAGGAGGAGGAGGAGGAGGAGGAGGACGAGGGTGGCACACCACTCGGACACTCGGACCCGACCAGAGACAGGGCACAAAGGTGCCATCAGCAGCTTCCCTTTTGCGTTCCGTGCGGCTCACCAGGTGGCATTGTCGACCACATGTAAGCCTGCTAGAACCAGGGTTGCTCGATGTTGGATGGATCATCGGGCCCCCATATGTTTGCATGTCCTGTGAAGGTGTAGTGTGGTTTACCTGACACGCCGCCCACTGTGATCACCAGGACCTTTGTCGACGAGTGAGCGGCCAAGACGGCCAGAGCAGTATTTCATGAAAGGCTGGCGCCAATGTCTCACCCTATGGCCGGGCAGGTATGAGACTGCTACTGGTTCCAAGCAGGCGACGCAGTGTTGAACGACAGTGACCACCCAGATGAACAGAAGCACCCGCTTACGCAATGCCCTGCCCCACAGCCTCCCCACATGTGAACGACTGCACAGGTGGGGGTATGACGTGCCACCCCTTTGTTGCTTCTGCCACGCGTTTGACACACCCTTCCACAGGAGCTGGGTCTGTCCTTGTCGGAGGGCAAAGCGAGAATTAACGAGGGAGATGCTAGTCCTAGCCCAGAGTTGATCCGGGATGTCCTAGATGCTCTGCCAGTCCACCCACTCCACTCACACTTTCTTCAACCCTCCCCAACTTTGCCTGCTCAGAGCGTGACCCAACTGAGGAGAACCAGCGACACATACCATGCACTCGATTGTAGTGCACCAGGCCAGACTGTCACATGGTCAGAGCCAGCGATGTCGGAACATAACCCGACTGCACGCTTGTGGCGCCCAGCAGCATTAGGAGGCGCCAGCTGGCCAACCATGTGCAACGTCAAAGCCCATCGTAACGCGAGTACCGCAAGAGATGGGGTCGACATCGCCCATATCAGCGTCAACACCCTCGCATATCACTCTGCTGGACTTGGCTGGAGAGCTCGCGGGCGCCCGACGAATGATACTGACCTCTGTTCGAAGGCCTTGCTAGAACATGAGAACGTGCCTGTAGGCGCATTTTCGAATTTCAAGTTGCTTCCCGACACAAGGCTAGGTTTTCGGAAAGCTTGCTTGGCCCGAGAAACCCCGTCTCCCGCGGACCACGGAAACCCTCTACCAGCCTATCCGAGACGGGTCGGCTTTTCGATGAAAGACTTGTTTACGTGCGTGTTCTGACAAGGGCACCTTTCCATGTCAGGCCCCAGCCCCCCCAGCCTTGCTGAGCCAGTGCGCTCAGGAGGGGGCCCAGGGCACTCCGCGCATGCAGCGGGAGTCGAATGCAGTGTATTCCCACCTGTTCTTTGTAGCCGCAGTGGCTTGACACACAGACAGTGCTGAGTCTCATGGAGCCCTGCTTGCGCCCTGGGTGCTCCAGTGAACGAAGTGAGCTACTCCGAGGCATTGTTCCAGGGAGCCGCTCAGCCCAAAGAATATGCGCCTCATTTTCCCTTTCCTTTCCTTCCTCCCCGCCCCTGCCCCCCCCCCCGTGCCCCTCTTCTGCGGAGCCTTCTCTGGGGCAGGAGTATCTCCAGGCTGAGCAGCATCCAGCCACTCTCACATTCATAGGTTACACACGTGTAAGACACTATGGCGCAGCTGCTGCCCGGTTCGTTCGGTTGCGTATTTAGGCGGGGATTACTTCCCCTCAGGGGATTGTGCTGTGGCTTGGCCTTGTGCGCAGGCATCTGACCATCCTGGTTTGGTTTTGAGATTCTTGAGAGGAAGAGGAGGAGGAGGCGGAGGAGGAGGAGGCGGAGGAGGAGGAGGAGAAGGAGGAGGAGGAGGAGGAGGAGGGAGGAGGAGGAGGAGGAGGAGGGAGGAGGAGGGAGGAGGGAGGAGGGAGGAGGAGGAGGAGGAGGGAGGAGGGAGAAGGGAGGAGGGAGGAGGGAGGAGGGAGGAGGGAGAAGGGAGGAGGTAGTAGGACGGACGGCGGGGACAGGCAGGCGGAGAGCAGAGAGTGGCGGGAGAAGGGGTGGGTTGGAAGGAGCGCCGGTCGGACCTGCCTGACAGGAGGCGCTGTGCTTTTTCCTTCCTCCTTGCTCCTGGAAGGGAGGAGTGGGCTCCCACTCGGCCCATCCGCCCCGTACAGTGGAGACCCATGCCAAAAACACCCTGCTTGCCTCCAGGGTGCCTTTGGTTGCTTGGGTTTCGATGGTTCTGCTATGGAGGGCGTGACGTCCCCGCACCAAGAATCAGTGGACGTCATGGGGACTCAGGGTTCGGTTTTTTGCGGAAGGTTTCTTGTGGACTGGCCTCCACTGCATCCAAGAGGGAGAGCGTGAGATCGCTCGCCTGCGCCTCCCAGCAAGCGGCTGCGAGAGCGCGTTGGGCGGCCAGCGCAGACGAACGACAGACGCCTTGCGGCGGTCTGGGTCTCCGTGGCCTGGGCTGCAGTCGGGAACTATTTGATAGCGTGTCGCTCCGCCAGTTCTGGCCCGCCACGCTGCGGCGCGACACGCTACAGTGGAGGCCAGTCCACAAGAAACCTTCCACAAGAAACCCAACCCTGAGACCCCAGGACGCCCATTGATTTTTGGTCTGGGAACGTCACGCCTTCCATAGCAAAACCATCGAAACCCAAGCAACCAAGGGCACCCTGGAGGCAAGCAGGGTGTTTCTTGGCATGGGTCTCCGATGTATCCACCTCGCGGTCCCCAGGCGTCAGAGTTTCGAGCTTTCCCAGGCCTCCCGCCCCGCGGAGCGGGTCGACACGCTATCCTATCGCAGGCCACAGCGTGTTCCCCGGCGGCCGCCACGGCGACGCGATAGTTAAGCAAACGTTCCCGACCGTGATGCCGGGGTTGTAGGGCACCCTTATTGCCTCCACGGGGGAGGAGGAGGAGTAGGAGGAGTAGGAGGAGGAGGTGGATGATGATGATGATGATGATGATGATGATGATGATGATGATGATGATGATGATGATGATGATGCTGATAATGACGATGATGAGGAGGATGATGATGATGATGATGATGATGCTGATGCTGATGATGATGATGTTGTGGTTGTCGTTGTTGTTGTTGTTGTTGTTGTTGGTGTTGTTTTGGTTGCTGTTGCTGCTGCTGTTTTTGTTGTTGTTGTTGTTGTTGTGGTTGTTGTTGTTGTTGTTGTTGTTGTTGTTGTTGTTGTTGTTGTTGTTGTTGTTGTTGCTGTTGTTGTTGTTGTTGTTGTTGTTGCTGATGCTGTTGTTGTTGGTGTTGTTGTTGTTATTGTTGTTGCGAAGGAGGAGGGGGAGGAGGAGAAGGAGGAGGAGGAGGAGGAGCAGGATAAGGAGGAGGAGGAGAGGAGGAGGAGGAGGAGGAGAAGGGAACGAGGAGGAGAGGAGCAGGAGGAGGAGGAAGAGGAGGAGGAGGAGGAGGAGGAGGGGAGAGGAGGAGGAGGGGGGAGGAGGAGGAGAGGCGGAGGAGGAGGAGGAGGAGGAGGAGGAGGAGGAGGAGGAGGAGGAGGAGGAGGAGGAAGGAGGAAGAGGAGGAGGAGGAGGGGGAGGAGGAGTCTCTCTCTCTCTCTCTGTGATTTTTTGTCTCTCTCCTTCTCTCCCTCTCTCTGGCTCTCTCCGGCACCCGCGGGCTGCCGCTGCCGCCCCGCCGCCCCCAGTCGCTGTACGAGGTCCTGAAGGATAGGGACCTCACTGAGATGCCGCCAGAGCTCCGTAGCTGGATGGACTCGGTCAGGTATGCCCGCTTCGTGCAGTTGAAGGGTTCAGGGGAGGAGGAGGACCAGCAGGAGGAGCAGCAGGACGGCAAAAAAGAAGAAGGGCAGGATGAGAAGGACGACAAACAAGAGGAAGGAGGGTGACGGTGCCCTTGACGGTGGCGAGTGCTTGCCAGGCAGAGTTAGCAGCGCTCTTGACTTGATTCCCCAATCAGAGCTTGCCTCTGTAGGGGTCCTAGCGGATTCATATGGTTAAGTTAGGTGTGCCGCCGATTTTCGCCGCACTTTTTTTTTTTACCAACGCGAGAGGAGCCCAGTGGCAAAGAGCGGAGGACGACACGACCGACAGACGAGCGACGGACGACAGACGAGGACGACGGAGGGCGCGGGGGGGCGGGAGGGGGGGGAGGGGGGGGAGGGGCCGGCGCGCGCGCGCCCCCCGCGCGCGCGCGGGCAGCCGCCCGCTGGGGCCCGCGCGCCCTCAGCCGGCAGCGCGGCGGCGCCTCAGCCGGAGCGAGTCGCCTGCAGCGCGAGCGCAGCGCTCAGCGCCCGGCCCCGGGCGGCGGCGCGCCCGCGCCGGCGGGCACCGCGAGGGCCCCCAGCAGGGCCCGGCCCACCTCGAGGATGGGCCCGCGGGCGGTGGGGTCGCCCGCCGCCGCCGCCGCCTCCAGCAGCAGCGCCGCCTCGAGCGCCGCGCTGGCGCCCTCGCCTGTGACGGCCCGCAGTGCGGCCGCCAGCTGGCTGAGCGCCGCGGCCCCCGGCGCCGGGGCCGGCTGCTTTGGCCCGCCGGGGGCCGGGAGCCAGCCCGCCTCCTGGCCAGGGCCCTCCTCGGCCGCGTCCGCCCACGGCGCGCGCCGGGGGATGCGCGGCCGCGCCCGCGGCGGCGTCTCCACCGCTAGGCCGCCGGCCGTGGCGCCCCGCGGAGTGGACGCAGGCGGGGGCGCCGCGCTGCCAGCCGCCAGGGCAGCGCCGCCTGCGGTGGGGTGCGCGGGCGCCCAGTCGCCCTCGTACTCCGCCTCGATGTCGTGTTCGAGGGCATCGAGCGGCACGAGCAAGACGTCCCCGCGCTCCGTCGCCCCGCCGGAGCCGGTCCCCGTCGCCCCCCTTCCTAGGGGGCCGGCGCCTGTCGCTCCTCTGGCGAGGCCGGTGCTGCCGCTTACCGTCGCCCCTCCTGCGGGGCCGGTCTCCGTCGCCCCGCCGTCCGAGGGGCCGGTGCCTGTCGCCCCGCCTCCCAGGGGGCCGGCGTCCGTAGCTCCTCTGGCGGGGCCGGTGCTGCCGTGTTCCGTCGCCCCGCCTGCGGGGCCGGTCTCCGACGCCCCGCCGCCCGCGGGGCCGGTGCCCAGCGCCCCTCCCGCAGGGCCGGCGCGGGCGCCTAGGCCCCCCCCTGGGGCAGGAGGAGGCCCGCCTTCTTTGCCTCCCCGAGGACGCCCGCCGCGACCTCCGGGGTCTGGAAACTCCAGCCGTGCGCCCTGAGGATCTCCGCCACGGCGGCCGCCGCTGCCGCAGGCAGGGGACCCGGGCCCGGGGTCGCTCCACCAGGCCGAGTGGGTGCGGGGGCGGCCGCCTCGGCGCCCCCTCCGTCGCCGCCTGCTTCTGGCGGAGCCGGCGCTCTCGGAGCCGCTCGTCGCGCCGAGCTGCCGCTCCCGCTGCTGCCCGAGCTCGAGCTGCTCGAGCTGGCGCTGTCGCTCGAGCCGGCGCTGCGGGGGCGGTGGTCCCGGCCCCTGCCCCGGCCGCCGCGGCTCGCGCGCTGGCTCCCCGTGGGGGGGGTGGCGCCGACCCCCCCCAGGGTCGCCGCTGCCGGCCCCGCCGGTCCCGCCTCCTCGGGCGCTACCTCCGGCGCTGGCGGGCTCGCCGCCGCGCGCGCCGCGCTCGCCGCGCTCGCCGCCGCGGGCGCCAGCGGGCCGTCGCCGCTCGCCGGCGCGCTCGCCGCTTCGGGCGCCCTGGAGCCTCGCCTGCGGCGGCCGCTGCGCGGGCGTCGCGGCGCGGCCGGGCTGCGCGGCCGGCGGCGCCGCCTGCGGCTCCGGCTGCGCGTGCGGCTCCTGGCGCGGCGGTGGCCGGAGCCGCTCCTGCCCCGGCGCTTGCGGTGCCGCCGCAAGCCCGAGCGGTGCCCAGTAGCCTCCCGTGCCGAAGGCGCCGAGCGCTCCGGCCTCGCCGGTGCGAGCGCGCTGGGGCTGCGCACGCGCTCGCGCCATCGCCCGGCGGTGGGGCTGCCGCCAGCCTCCCTCTCCCGAGGAGTCGCCGCTGCTGCTGTCAGCTGCGCCCTCTTGGGAGTCGTCGGGGCCCGAGCTCCCGCCCGCTCCGTCGTCGGCGTCGGAGCCCCCGGTGGCGCTCGCTGCGGGGGCGCCCTTGCCTCCGGCTGCGGCTGGCCAGCCCGCCCCGGCCGCGCTGCCGGCGGGCGGCCACCCGGCCGTGCCGCCGGCCTGGCCTGCGGCGGGGCGCCGCTCCCCTCCGCCTCGGCCCGCCGGCCCCGCGCCCCCGTCGCCCGGGGCGCCGGCGAGGAGCCGCGCCAGGACGGCCCCTCCGGCGCCGCCGAGGAGTGCGCCTGCTGGGCGCGGCGCACCGGGAGCGGCGGGCGCGCCCGCTGCGGCGCCGCCGTCGGCCTCGCTGCTGGGCCCGGTGCCTGGTGCCAGGGGCACCTGGCCGCCTCCTCCGGGTCCAGGGTGCTGCCAGCAGCCCGGCGCTGGAGGGACTGGCACGGCGAGCCAGCCCCAGCTCCAGCCTGGCGGGAGGTCGGCGTGGCACTGCATGCCTCGCCCCGGCCGCGCCCCCAGCGGCCGCGCTTCCCCATGGAGCGCCGGCGCGCGCGCCGGGCCGCTAGGGCCGGCCGCCCGGCCAGCCCCTCGAGCCCACGGCTACCTCAAGCTGCAAACCCCCGGAGGGGGTTTGCAGCTTGAGCCAAAATGGCCCGGGTGCCCGTGTGCGCGGGTGCCTGGGTGCCCAGGTGCCCGGGTGCCCAGGTGCCCGGTAGCTCTATATAGCCCTATAGCTATAGCCCTGTAGCCCTATTGCCCTAATAGCCCTATAGCCTTATAGCCTTATAGCCCTATAGCCCTATAGCCCTATAGCCCTACAGCCCCATCATCCTATAGCCCCATAGCCCTATAGCCTTATGGCCCTGTAGCCCCATAGCCCCATAGCCTTCTAGCCCTATAGCCTTATAGCCCCATAGCCCTAAAGCCCTAAACAGATTATGATTGGGTTGTTCTCCGGTATCATTGGAGTTGTCTTAATCGAACACCTGTTGTAGCCATAAATTCAGTATGATATTATCTGTAGTGCTGTCCAGTCTTTCGCTGGGGGCGATCTCCACACGGTGAAGATGGCGGCCAGGAGTTGTTGCCGGGCGGGGAGGTGTGAGGTTGGGCGGCGGGGCGGACCCGTCTATGTCCCGTCGGCGTCCTGTCGGTGTCTGTGTCCCATTGATGTCCCGTCGGTGTCCCGTCGGTGTCCCGGTGATGTCTCGCCGTCGGTGTCCTGTCGGTGTCCCGTCGGTGCCCGTGTTGAGATTGATCGTTCGACCGATAGTGATTTCGATAGTGAGACCGATCGTGAGATCGGTAGTCAGAGGTTGTGGAGGGTGAGATCGCAGTGGAACGGGAAGCCCCCCACTGGGAAATCGGTTTCGGTTTCGTATTCGTGTCGCGCGTGCGGGCGAGGCGAAATTGCGCGGGCGCGCGAGAGGAATGATGCCGCTGTGGCCAGGGGCCGTGGAGCCGTTTGACCGCCCCCCCCCGCCGGGCGCGCCAATGCACGGGGTGCCCCGTCGGTGGCGCGGGGGGGCCCCGTCGGTGGCGCGGGGTGCCCTGTCGGTGGCGCGGGGTGCCCCGATGGTGGCTCTGGGTGCACGGTGTCCCGCCGTGGTGTTTCGATGGTAGCTCGCGAGATCAGTTGTGAGATCGATCGTGCGATCGATAGTGAGATCGATTGCGTGATTGATCGTGATCGTGAGATCGATCGTGAGATAGTGAGATCGGTAGTGAGATCGATAGCGGGATCGATCACAACAGATCTTTGCAAGAGCGCACAGGTGGCACGCTTCTCACTACAGACAGCCAGGTAAGTTGGTACGATGTGAGAGTTCGGCCTGAAGACTCCAATCGCACGAAAGTGCCAGACTGTTGATCCAGCCAGACCAGGGGCCGTCGGCGCAGCCAGCCAGGGGAAAAGGGTTCGGCGGCAGGTCGCGGGCGATGGGCGCAGCGTGGAGCGCCGGAAAACGCATGCAGGGGCCCCCGCAAACGATGACGAGGGTCCCCTTCCCGCGTGTCAGCGTCGCCTCGGGCGTCGGATCTGGATACGGATCCGCGACGGATCCTATATGGATGTGAAGCCTCTTGTGCAGATCCTTTGCGAATTTATTGGGTTTCGTAGTGCAACTAAGGGGAGCCATAGAAACCGAGGACGACTTACCCAGGGCACAAAGCTAGGCGTCTTCTTGACGCCTGAAGAGCCCATCGGTCGCGAAAAAGCGAAAAGGCAAAATACACTGATGTTCCTTTGGTTTTGAAGCCATGTTGGCCTCTTGAGGGGGTCCTTGGAGGGCTCGGAGGGCACTTGAAACAGTCTTGGGGTCGTCTTGAGGCCTTTTGGATGCGTGCTGGAGGCTATCTCGAGCCGTCTTGGGGTATCTGGGGCGATCTTGGAGGCCATTTTGGGCTAGCTAAAGCCCTCTTGAAGCTGTCTTGGGCCATCTTGGACGCTCGGACCCCTCGCGGGGGAGCCCGTCCAGACCCAGGGAGGGGGGGAGGTAAACCTCCCGAGCAGGGAAAGGAAGGAGGTGAGAAATGGAAGCGCTCTAGACCACCTGCGCCCAGAGGGCTTGTTGGATTTTACTGAGCTGTTCCCCTGGGTTCCGACGATAGGATCATCGCGCGTTCTGATCATTAGACCTCGCCGTCGCCGGCGTCGTCCTCGCCGCCGCAACCGCCGTCACCGTCGCCGACGTCGCCGTCGTCGTCGTCGTCGTCGCCTTCGCCGCCGCCGCCCAGCTCGTGGTTTGTCGCGGTCGCCGCCGCCGTCGTCGTCGCCTTCACCTTCGCCGAGCATGTGAGAACTCTTGAGCCTACCAGGGCGCGCTCGCGTCCGTGCGCCGTCTGGAGGTTCAGTCGCGCGTCCAGTCCAGGCAAATCGTACCAACTTTACCTGACTGTCTGTAAAGGGGAGCCCCAGCTTGAAGCTACCCACTCCCCTCCATTAGAAAAGAGTGGGAGGGGTCCGAAGCTACCCCCCCTCCCTTCTGCGGGCATTTCCGAGCTAGGGGGGCCCTAGCTAAAGGGGAGGGGCTTCCAAGCCTCCCCCGCCTTCTTTTCCGGAGCCCAAGGTCAGCCCGGGCTCCCCTTCCAAAAGAGGGGGCGGGCTGTGGAAGCTCCACCATTTCTCTTTCGCAGCTGAGATTGCCTTGCCGAGGAAGGGGCGGTGCTTCAAAGCTACCCCCCTCCCTCCATTTCTGGAACCCAGAGCCAGCCTGGGCTCCCTTCTCAAAGGGCGGGGGAGGCTTCGGAAGCTACCCCCCTTTCTCCTCTTCGCAGTTGAGATTGCCTTGCAAGGGGGGGGTGTTCCAAAGCTGCCCCCCCCTTCCCTCCGTTTCCAGAGCCCAAGGTCAGCCCGCGCTTCCAATTAAAAGGAGGGGGTGTTTGGGACCTCCCCTTTTATTACTTTCCAAGGTGAGGGCGCCAGGAACAACATGGTTGGGCAGGAATGCTAGAATGAAGAGGAGGAAGAGGAGGAGGAGGAGGAGGAGGAGGAGGAGGAGGAGGAGGAGGAGGAGGAGGAGGAGGAATAGGGGGCGGAGGAGAAGAGAGAGGAAGAGGAGGAGAGAAGGAGGAGGAGGAGGAGGAGGAGGAGGAGGAGGGGGAAGAGGACTTAGGAGGAAAACGAGGAGGAGGAGGAGGACGAGGACGAGGAGAACGAAGGGGAGGAGGAGGAGGCGGTTGAGGAGGAGGACGGCGACGACGCGGAGGAGGAGGAGCAGGATGGGGGAGGGGCTGGGGTCTCGAGGTCCTGTCGGGGGGCGCCCCTGTGATTTCTGATGTTTCTGTTGGTATTAGGTCTTTGTGTTGTTGTTCGGCGCCCCTTTGGTTTTCGGCGCCCTTGTGGTTGTCGGCGCTTCCTTGGTTTTGGGTGCCCCTTTCGGTTTCGGCGCCAGCCTTTTTTGGTTATCAGCGCCTTTTTGTTTTCGGCGCCCCTATGGTTTTCGGCGCCTCTTGGGTTTTCGGCGGCCGTGTAGTGTTCGGCGATTTGGGTTTTCGGCGCTTCTTTGGGTCTCGGTGCCTTTTCTGTGTTCTGCGCGTCTGTGGTATTCGCCGCCCCTTTGGTGTTCGGCGCCCTTTTGGTGTTCGGCCCTTTGGTTTTCGGTGCCTTCTTGGTTGTCGGCGCACCTTTGGTTTTCGGTGCTTTGTTTGTTTTCGGCACCTTTGTTGTTTTCGGCGCCCTTTTGGTGTTCAGCGATCCGTTGGTTTTGGGTGCCTCTTTGGTTTTCGGCGCTCTTTTTTTTCCGCGCCCTTTTGGTGTTCGGCGCCGCCCTGGTTTTCAACGATTGTTTCGTATTCCGCGCATCTTTGGATTTTCGGCGCGCCCCCGTTGGTTCTCGGCGCCCTTCTTGGTGTTCGGCGCCTCTTTGGTTTTCGGCGTTGGTTTGGGTTTCGGCGCCGGTTCGGCGCCTGGTTGGGTTTCGTCGCCCTTTGGGTTGTTGGAGCCCTTTGGGGTTTTGGAGGTTCTTTGGGTTTCGGAGTTCCTTTGGCTTTAGCTGTTTTTTTGCATTCGAAGCTGTTTTGGTTTTCGGCGCTCTGTTGGTTTTCGGCGCTCTATGGGATTTTGGTGCCGTTTTGGTTTTCGTTTTTTGTTTGTTTGCTTTTTGCTCCCTTTCGGATTTCGGCGCGTCTTTGGTTTTTCGGCGCCCTTTCTGGTTGTCGGCGCCATCTTGGTTCCCAGCCAGTTATTTAGCCAAAAGGGGGGGGCTTCCAAGCCCCCCTCCTCCTTTGGCCGTTGGGTGGGGAGGCGGAGGGGGCTTCCGGCAAAGGGCTTCTAAGGGAGGGGGGCATCTATTAGTTTTCGGCGCCGCTTCGCTATTCGACGCCGCTTTGGTTTTTGGCGCCGCTTGGATTTTCGGCAACCCGTGGGTTCTCGGGGCATCGTTGGTCTTCGGGGTCCTTTTGGTTTCGGTGCCCGTTCGGTTGTTGGCGCCTTTTTTGTTGTCGGCTGCTCTTTAATTTGTGGCGCCTCGTTGGTTTTCGGCGTCCTCAGGTTTTGTTCGCGTTCTGCTGGTTTTCGGCGAATCATTGGTTTTCGGCATCCATTCGGTTTTCGGCGCCCTTTTGGTTTTCGGCGCTCATCTGATTTTCAGCGCTCATTTGGTTTTCGGCGCTCTCTTGGTTTTCGGCGCCCCGTCTTTGTTTTTATGGTTTCTTTTAATTTTCGGCGCACTTTGGGTTTGCGGCGCCCCTTTGGTTTTCGACGCCCTGGTGGTTGTCGGCGCATATTTGGTGTTCGGCGTCCCTTTGGTTTTCGGCGCCGCTGTGTTTGTCGGCGCTCTTCTGGTTTTCGGCGCCTTTTTGATTCTCTGCGCTCCTTTTGTTTTCGGTGCGCTCGTGGGTTTCGGCGACTTGTTGGTTCTCGGTGCTCCATTGTCTTCAGGCGCCTTTTCCGTGGTCGGCGCAGTTTGGGTTCTCAGCCCATTGGCTTTGGAAGCTCCTTTGGTTTTCGCCGCTCCTTTGGTTTTCGGCGCGCCCATTGGTTTTCTGCGCATACTTTGAGTGTGGCGACCTGTTGGTTGGCGGCGCCCTTTTTGTTTCGGGCGCGCCTTTGGTCGTCGGTGCTCTCTTGGTTTTCGGCGCCCGTTTGGTTTCCGGCGCCCCTCTGGTTTTCGGCGTTCTTTTTGGTGGCGTTCGTTTGGTTTTTGGCATGATTTTTTGGTTTCCGCAGTAGAAAAATAGATGTGGGCTGGGGCTTCGGCTGGAGGGGGTCCAACAGGGGTGGGTCCTGAGCGCGAAAAAAAAGGGGGGGTAGCTTCTGAGGGGCGGGAAAAAGGAAGGGGGGGGTCCGGCAGGGGAGGTCCAAGGGTGTGTGTGTGTGTGCTTCCGAGCGCGAAAGAGGGGGGTGGGGCGGGAGCTTTCGACGGGCGGGAAAGAGGAGGGGGGGGGGTCCAGCAGGGTCGGCCCAGGGGGCAGGGTAGGTAGCCAAGGGCAAGCCCCTCCCCCGCCTCCCTTTGGGAGTGTGCCACGGGCGCGCTCTCTCAGATCTTTAGCTGGGGGTGCCCCGCCGTGGCTGGGGGTGCCCCATGGCGGTGTCCCGATGGTGTCTCGTGGGATCTCCTGTGAGGTCGATCGTGAGATCTTGTGTGGTATCGATGTTGACATCGACAGTGCGACCGATGGTGCGATCAGTAGTGCTGTCGATATCGGGATCGTTTTGAACGCCACTCGCTATGAGATCGTTATTGGGAATTGCTGAGAGGCGGATCGTGGGATCGAAAGTAAGATATATTGCGGGACCGATCGTCTGATCGATAGTGAGATCGTCTGCGAGCTTGATCCTGAGATCGATAAGGAGATCGATAGTGAAGCCAGTAGTGCGATTAGTCGATTGGAGTCGAATACGAGATCGCACTCATGTGGTGTGAGTTCCATCGCGGCTGTGTCGCCTTCATTACAATCGCGCGTATCCATTCCCACCATACCATGAACATTATCGTGCAATCTTGTTACTTCATCGCCATCACAGTCATCTCAGTTGTTGCCAGTTTTTTTTTTCTTTCCCCCAACCTCTTTATCACCCGAAGGGTAGCCGTATAGGAGTATGTGTATTTATACACACAGATGTGCAGCTTGTCCATTTGCGGCCGCAAGTGTGCCAGTGCCGACGGCAACGCGTCCATTTTGAAAAGAAGCGCGCAAGCCGAGCTTGTGTCGTCCACCCCCGTTTTATGATTGTTGTCGGGCTGAAAACAAGGCACGTGAGACAGAGAGATGGATAGATATATGTATTCTAACAGCAGTGATTAGGAATACGAGCGGCAGTGCGAGTATAGGGTCGGAGGGAATTGGGGATAGACGTAAGAGCTGCATCAGTCGGATAAGGTGCATGAGGGACGCGTTGCAGGACTCGGAGTGCGACAGCGAGCAGGGCAGACGAGCAGTGGAAGGATATGATGACGAGGTCGAGGAGCAGGAGGATGACGTTGAGGAAGAGGAGGAGGAGGGCGAGGAAGTAGAAGAGGCTTACGATGCACCCCGCAATGATTCTCGCACGTGTGTTTCCTTGCTCCACCCGCTCCTCGCCCTGCAGCAATCCTCTCATGTGGGACTCGTTGCTCCTCCGCTTCCTTTGCTGCCTCGCGCGCATCCCCCCAGGCAATTGAATGAGCAGAGCGACGATTTTGTCGTCAAGGGCCTGCACGCCGATTCCAAGGTGGCACTGGTACGCGCTGGTACGGAATGATGGTTATGATGCACGTTGTGCTGAGGATGGTAGCGGTGAGAATGGAGGAGGACTGAAGCGGGGGAACGTGAGGAGGATTTGGACGGGGGGAAGAGGAAGAGGAAGAGAGTGTGGAGGGGGAGGGAGAGGCGGAGGGAGGAGGAGTTGGATCAGAACAGCGGCGGTGACATTGTTGTTGGTGAAGATGATGCTGCTGACAAGGATGATGGCGCTGATGATGATGATGATGATGATGATGATGATGATGCTGATGATGCTGGCGTTGATAATGCGACGACGATGATGGTACTGATGCTGTTGATGGTGAAGCTGGTTATTACGGTGCTGATGTTGATAGTGCTGCTACTGACGATGGCAATGCATGATGAGACGGATGAGGATTATGATGATGATGCGGCTGATGATGAGGATGATGATTGTGATGGTGATTGAACGAGCGGGGTGATATTATGATGTGGATGGTGAGGACGATGCTGTTGACGATGATGATGATGATGATGATGATGATGATGATGATGATGATGATGATGGTGATGACGATGACGATGATGATTACGATGGCGATGCCGACGATGACGATGATGCTGATGCTGGTGATGCTGATGATGATGGTGATGATTATGATGGTGTTGATGATGATGATCTTGATCGTATGATGATGCTGCGGATGATAATTATGATGGTGATGGGGAATCTGATAATGACGACGACGATGCTGATGATGCTGCTGATGATTCTGATGATGCTGGTGATGAGGATGTTGCTAGAGTGGGGGCCCATGCCAAGAAACACCCTGCTTGCCTCCAGGGTGCCCTGGGTTTCTTGGGTTTCGATGGTTTTGCTGTGGAAGGCGTGACTTTCCCACGCCAGGAATCAATGAACATCCTGGGGTCTCAGGGTTGGGTTTCTTGTGGAAGGTTTCTTGTTGTCGGACCCCTACTGTACCGCTGACGGTGATGACGATGACGATGACGGCGACGACGACGACGATGTTGATGATGCTGTTGGTGATGATGATGATGCTGGCGGTGTGAATGCGAACGATGATGGTGACACTTAAGCTACTGATGGTGATGATGGCTATCCCGGTGATGGTGTTGATGATGCTGCTGCTGACTATGACGATGGATGATGATGATGGTGATGATGGTAATGGTGGTGATGATGGTGATGTTGGTGATGGTGATGGTCGTGATGATGATGATGTTGATGTTGATGATGATGATGTTGATGCTGATGCTGATGCTGACGATGATGCGGGTGCTGGTGATTTTGATGAGTTTGATGGTGTGTGGACGAGGGGGAAGATGGTGCTGCTGCTGCTGCTGATGATGATGATGATGAGGAGGAGGAGGAGGAGGAGGGGGAGGAGGAAGAGGAGGAGGAAGGCGGAGAAGCAGGAGGGACGATGGACGAGCAACGATGAAACACAGGCGCGGAGGGGGGGACGAGGTTAATAAGAAAGAGAGAGAGAGAGGGGACACGGAGGATCGGGGATTCACGAGGGATGATGGGGGAGGAGGAAAGCAGAGGACGAACCAGGATGAGGGGCGAAGGTTATGAGGGTTCCAGGCTAGTTGCCCATCCTACAGCCCCATGCCCGCCACGATCCCTCTCCTCTCATCAGGCGCCCCTTCGGGAAAAAAAACGTTTGCAGTCGCCACGGTACCGAGGCTGGCTCTCAAACGTTTTTCTCCTCCTGCTCATCCTCGGTCGCTACGAGGGGTGAACGATTGAGCACGTGCCACACGAAGAGCGATAAAACACATGGGGCGTTCCAAGAAGGGCCTTGCCTTCGAGGATCGAAGGGGTTGCCATCTCTTCCTCGGTGGAAAGCCGCGGAAGGGCGGCGAAGGTCGGCGGACGTAAAACAAGGCCGCCTCCGCCGGCGGAAGCCGGCGGAAGCTCGGCGGAAGGCGGCGGAAGTACAATATGTGCCCCCAATATATGAAAACGTTATTCGGTTAAGGGTTTCCGAGACCGCCCACATGTCACGAATTCACGAATCAGTGGGCCGTGAGGGTACGCAATGCCGCCACAGGAGCACCCCCCACTTCCTCGCTAGGGGAAGGCGGTCCTTGCAGCTCCTCCTCCTCCCTCCTCCTCCCTCCTCCTCCTCCTCCTCCTCCTCCTCCTCCTCCTCCTCCTCCTCCTCCCTCCTTCTCCTCCTCCTCCTCCTCTTCCTTCTCCTCCTCCTCCCTCCTCCTCCTCCTCATCCCTCCTTTTCCTCCTCCTCCTCCTCCTCATCTGTCGCCCCTTCTCATTATGTGCACCTCGCCCCCTCCCTTACAGCTTGCCGACGACTTGAGGTCGTTCGGAGTATTGAAGTGGATACCAGCTTCGCCAATAGTCAAGAAGCAGGAAGCTTCGTCGACCCACACACCAGGAAAGAAAGAGGCAAGCGAGGCAGAGAGTACGCACGTAAACTTCAACAGCTAGCAGCCACAGTTGCTGGAGCGGCGGCCCAGCTTTACTGGACGTGCGAGCAGCGCCGGCCGGCGTGGAATCTCCTGACTCACGGCATCATTCCGACGGCTGCTCAACATATCAGAGCTACAGGAGCGTCCCTGCTCATTCATGGATGGAGCGAAGACAGGCCGCTGCACGTTCATGGCCCTGCTGTTGGAGGAGCGCCCCAGGAGGCAGTCAATAGGGCCATCGTCGAGCAGGCGAAGCAGTTCTGGCTGGTCAGACGAGCGCCCCACGGAGCTGGTCAGACAAGCCCTCAAGCGTGAGGCCAGCCTTGCCCCAGCAGGAGGCCATTTGCCCGTGTTGCTGCATTGCCGAGAAGAGCCTCTGCCCCATCGCTGCTGTGAGAGCGATGCGACGAGTTCGGCCTGGGTGATGAGGAGGGAGGAGGAGGAGGAGGAGGAGGAGGAGGAGGAGGAGGAGGAGGAGGAGGAGGAGGAGGAGGAGGAGGAGGAGGAGGAGGAGGAGGAGGAGGAGGAGGAGGAGGAGAGGAGGAGGAGGAGGAGGAGGAGGAGGAGGAGGTAGGAGGAGGAGGAGGAGGAGGAGGAAGGAGGAGGAGGAGGAGGAGGAGGAGGAGGAGGAGGAGGAGGAGGAGGAGGAGGAGGAGGAGGAGGAGGAGGAGGAGGAGGAGGGAGGAGGAGGAGGAGGAGGAGGAGGAGGAGAGGAGGAGGAGGAGGAGGAGGAGGAGGAGGAGGAAGAGGAGGAGGAGGAGGAGGAGGAAGAGGAGGAGGAGGAGGAGGAGGAGGAGGAGGAGGCGGAGGGGAGGCGGAGGAGGCGGAGGAGGAGGAGGGAGGAGGAGAGGAGGAGGAGGAGGAGGGGAGGGAGGAGCAGGAGGAGCAGGAGGAGGAGGAGGAGGAGGAGGAGGAGGAGGAGGGGAGCGGAGGCGGGGCGGAGGAGGCGTGAGGAGGCGGAAGGAGGAGGAGGAGGAGGAGGAGGAGGAAGAATACTAATAAGCATACTACATACTACTACACTTACTACTACTACTACTACTATACTACTAAACTACTACTACTACTACTACTACTACTACTATTACTACTACTACTACTACTACTACTACTACTACTACTACTACTACTACTACTACTACTACTAGTAATAGTAATCATAATAATAGAAATAATACTAGTAATACTGATATTAATAATAACCACACTACTATTAATAATAATATTATTAATAATACCAATAATATCAATAATGATACTAATAATAATAATAATACTGCTACTACTAATCGTAATAATAATACTAATACTAATACTAATAATACTACCAATAATAATAACAATAATAATAATACTAATAATAGTAATAATAATAATAGTAATAGTAATAATAGCAATAATAATACCAATAAGAATAATAATAATACTAATACTAAGAGGAGGAGGAGGAGGAGGAGGAGGAGGAGGAGGAGGAGGAGGAGGAGGAGGAGGAGGAGGAGGAGGAGGAGAGAGGAGGAGGAGGAGGAGGAGGAGGAGGAGGAGGAGGAGGAGGAGGAGGGGGAGGGGGAGGAGGAGGAGGAGGAGGAGGAGAAGGAGGAGGAGGAGGAGGAACAAGAAGAGAGGGAGGATGGAGGACATCTTCCCCCCCCCGCCTCCCTCCCCCCCTGGAGTCAGGGGGACGGCCTCCAGTGGTTGCCGAGCACCCTGCACGTCGCGATGAACTATCTCCGGGAGCAGGAGCGGCGCCAGCGACCGGGGAAGAGGCATGAATGGGGAGCGGGATACGACAGGTGAAGAAGAAGGAGGGAGCAGGCGAACATGAGCGCTGATCACGAGCCTTGGTCAGGCGTTTGTTTTTTCCTGCAGCTTACACTCAGCCATCCCAGCTTCCCGGCCCCGCGCAGTGGCACTGGGCTGTACGCATGATGTTGGCCAAGCGTTCGGGGAGGGGGCGGGGGAGGTGGAGGGGAGCCCTCCTAAGACGATCATCGCCGCGAGATCACATTTACCTCGAGCTGCCTCCCTGTTCTCCAAAGGGGCGCTGGCCGAGATCTCGATCGATCGAAATCACACTGGGAATGCCTTGGTCGGTGTTTTCGGAGAGCGCGCCGCTCTTGGCCAGCTCCTGGGGCCTGCGTGGACCCCCCAAGCCTCCCCGCCCTCGCCCCTTCGAACAGTGCCGACGCCGAGAGCGTAGATGTCCGCGCGAAGTTGTTTGTCTGTTTCGGTCAGCGGTCTGCAGGGGCCTCCTCCTCCTCCTCCCCCCTACCTCCGCCTCCCCTTCCTCTTCCTCCTTCCTCCTCCGCCTCCGCCTCCTCCTCCTCCTCCTCCTCCTCCCTTCTCCTCCTCCTCCTCCTCCTCCTCCTCCTCCTCCTCCTCCCTCCTCCGTTCCAGAGAGACCCTCCTCTGGGACGGATCGAGGGGGTGGCCTCCCGCCTTCGGCGAGTTGCCGTCGAGAGCGCCGCGGAGGTCAGCATGAGGCAGCACATCGATGCCTCCTGCTGGCGGAGGCCAGCTCGCTGCTGGGGCGAGGGTCGGACTGGCCTCGCGGCCCCGCCTCGCGGCTGCGCCGGCCACCGAGATCTTGTCTGCTGCTCCCCAGCGCCGCCCAATGCCACCCCTGGTGCTACGGACCCTCCTTCTCCTCCTCCTCTTCCTCTTCCTCCTCTTCTCCTCTCCTCCTCCTCCTCCTCCTCCTCCTCCTTCTCCTCCTCCTCCTCCTCCTCCTCCTCCTCCCCCTCCCCCTTCCTTCTTCTCCTCCTCCTCCTCCGCCTCCTCCTCCTGCACCTGCAGCGGTTTGCCCCGCTGCGGCGGGCCGCTGCGTGTCGCGTGACTGCCAGCCCCAGCGTCGCGCGGCCTGTCCACTGACTGACCTTGCTGACAGCCGGCTGCGCCCAGCGAGAAGACACGGACCGCGTGCGAGAATGAGAGGCAGCTTAGAAAGAATGGGGTGGGGTACGTTTGTGTGTACATATCCTGTTTTCGGCGTGCGAAGGCCTAGATGTGTGTATCTGTGTGTGAGTGTGTGTGTGTCTGTCTGTCTGTCTGTCTGTCTGTCTGTCTGTCTGTCTGTCTGTCTGTCTGTCTGTCTGTCTGTCTGTCTGTCTGTCTGTCTGTCTGTCTGGATGGATGGATGGATGGATGGATGGATGGATGGATGGATGGATGGATGGATGGATGGATGGATGGATGTATGTATGTATGCATGCATGTATGTATGTATGTATGTATGTATGTATGTATGTATGTATGTATGTATGTATGTATGTATGTATGTATGTATGTAGTATGTATACGTCTCTCTCTATATATACATATATATATATAAAATTTATATATATATATATTATTATATAATATATTAATATACCCCGTGCACGAGGCCCGGGCGCCCGGGGCCCGGGCCACGGGGGGGCGTGGGAGGACCGGGGTTTCCCAGACCGCTCCCAGAGCACCTCGGACGGGCCGTGGAGCCCCCAGACTGCCCCAGAGAGCTCCCAGACGCTCCCAGAAGCCCCCGGGGGACTTCGACAAGCCCCTCCAAGACAGCCCAGCTAGCCCTGGGGTTGCTGCTGGCCCTCGGGGGGTACGGTCCGCCGGTTCTCGCAGGAGTGGTTCAGCCTTCTTGAACGGACTTACGCGACCCCCGTCGTTCCGCTGTCACTCGCTGGGCTCTCACGTGGTCCCGCGCTTGGCCACGTCCGTGGTGCACTGACCTCTGGCGCCCTGTGGCGACAAGGTCCAATTCACGTACCTGGTGATTCAGCTCCCATGGTACCCGCACGTTTGCAGCTCCCTGGCAGCCCCAGCAGCTTGCAGTCCCCACCCTCGGCGCTGGTTCCCAGCCTCGGCTGTTGCAGCACGGCCCCAGCGCAGCTGCTTCCCCGGCGGTAGGTCCTGCTTTCCTCTGCGCGCGTGCCAGCAATTAGGTTCGCTCGTAGCCCGAGCCACTCGACCCGCTGCGGGCGCCTTCGCCTGAGGCTGCGACGGAAAAAAACACCAGCCCATCTAGAAACGATGCCCAGACGAGTTGCCCTGATCAGGGATGTGGAGTAGAATGCGGTGGAATAAAAGGTTGGGTAAGATTTCGTACCCCAAGACGGGGAGGATGGAGGAGGAATCGGAGAGGAGCAGAGAGGAGGAGGAGGAGGAGGAGGAGGAGGA